CTAAATATTAAATTATTCGTCAAAATTATTAATTTAACACAAATCAATTAAACCCTTTTTAGTAATTTACCAACACCCTTTAATTTTCATCTCTTTTAATTTCTAAAATTTCCTGGTGTTTCTTTAATTAGTATAATTAAGTAAAAATCTAATTTCTTTATCTGAAAATTAAGTATAGGCTAAATTTATAGATTCTATGTGTCTCATTAAATTCGATTAAAAAAGAGAGGTAAATCCAGCCAGACTAATAAATTAATTATTCATTAAATTAATATGCATTAATTGTTAATTATATTTATTTATACTTGAAATATCTAAATAAATAAAATCATCATTCCTTAATTTATCCCGTATATCATTTAATAATAAATAACCTTTAAAATATCTATATCGACCTAAATTTAACTAGGGTTTGATTGCTTTTATACCACTATTCTATAAAAAAATAATTATATATATATATATATATATATATATATATATATATATATATATATATATATATATATATATATATATATATATATATATATATATATTTTCAAAACTATGTTTATTTATATTTCCATCTATTAATGGACAATCTTCAATTTGAATTCTTTAAAAAAAGCTTTCTTCTTTTTTATTTTTTTCTATATTTTCTAAAAAAAACACAATGAAATTATTCTAAATTCTTGTTTTAGAAAAATCTATAATTTCTGTTTTTTGTATTTTCTCAGATAAAAGTTTTGCTATTTGTTGTGTTTTCTCAATTGTTTCTAAATCTAATTCTAATAACGACATATTTTTAAAGTTTATGTAATGAAAATGACCAATATGACTATATTTTTCAAACAATTAGACTATAATCTAGTCATTTACTATATGTTTGTAGTATTAAATTATTTTTATTATATCAAATGTCTAGTTTTCTTTGTTTTATTATTACAGATAATCTATTAATTAGTACAAATTTCTTTCTGTCACATTTTTACAGTCGTCAAGTTATATTTCATTTAAATTACCTACTCCAAATTTAAAGAAATGAATATCAAAATTACTTTTATTTAATTTTATTTTGACTATTTTTTATAATATATTATTCATTCTTTCTTTAAACATATCCACACTATACCATATAGAAGGTAAATTGTTATTATTTAAGTCTAATTTGACTAAATGGGGAAAGTTTTATAATAATAAGGCCAAAGTTTATTCCTAATTTTAATCAAGAATAAGATTAATATTCCTAATTTTTAAAACTTACAATTTTCTTGAAATATACTTAAACTAAAAATAAAAGAATTCATTAATTTTCTAAAAATTAATAAACTTACAATTGGACATATTTAAATATTGTAAATTTTCGAAAAAGTTTTATTAAATTTTATTTTTTTCTATTTTAGTTTTCTATTAAGATTCTTTTGACCAAAATTAATTTTTTAAAGGCTTTTTTTAAAAGCTTTCGACCATTTTAATACAATTTATCTTTAACTTCATATATTTGGTACTTATAGCATAAGTAAGCTTTTTACGGAATTCTTCAATTTATTTTTAAACTTTATTTAATTATTTTCCTTTATATAATTGTTTATATACCTCATATATATTTTTTTTTATTCTTTTTCACCCTCATTTTCTTCTGATTATTATTATAATTAATTATTTTCTTATATTTATTATTATAGTTCATCATTACTTTCAATTATTAATAAAGATTATTGTTCACTTTATTAATAAGAATCCTTTAAACTAGAAAAAGACTTAATATTATTATTAGTATTTTCTTTTTTTTATTTTCTATTTAATCTATTATTTATTTATTAGTATTAATTAATTCTTATTCATCTGAACATAAAGACTTTCTTTAATCATTTTTTATATCAAAATTTTTGGTTTTTACTTTTTTTATTTTCGGAATTTTATTATTAAAAGATTTCTCTTCTGAAAATTCTTCTTCTTCTTCATATTCATATTCATATTCTTCTTCTTTTTCAGAATATGTACTTTTCAAAGAAGTTAATTTTTTAGTTAATTATTATTTATATTCTTCGATTTCTTTATTAATTTAATACTGTTGATTTTCATCCATAAAAGTAGCTTTTTTTTAATTAATATTGCTTATTTATTTAAATTCTTATTCTTCTTTTTATATAGACATCTCTTCTTCTGAAAAATTAAAACCTTCCCTTAAATATTCGAAAGAGTTTTTTCTATTTAATTAACTTTATAAAAGTGTTTTTTCTTCTTTTTATGTACTTTATGGTAATTTGTCATTTACTATTTATTAATTTTAATCTTAAACTTCATCTTATTCTAATTCTTAATATAAATTAGTCAAAACGTCTATAAAACTCCCACAAACTTTAGTTTTTTAAACATTTAATTAGTAGATATCATTAATTAAACCTCCTTTCTATATAATTTAAAAAAAAACACTACTTATATTAACACAATTTTTAAAATTTAATTATAATAATTTAAATTTTTGTTAGCTTAACAATTATTATAATATTTAGTTTCCTATATAATAAACATAGAAAATATAAAAATATAAATATATAAATATATAAAAATATAAATATATAAATATATAAATATATAAATATATATATATATGTATATATATATATTTTCATATATAATACTTCTAAAACAAGTTTCTTGTATATAATCAGCTAAAGAATCATCTACTTAATTATTATTTTAAATATTTAAGCATTCTAATTAATCACATTAAAGTAAATATTTAATACCTTTATGCGAGAAATCCTAAAAAATTATAAATATACATATACATATATACAATATATATATTAATTAATATATATATATATATATATATATATATATATATATATTATCTTTATCTATATTTTTTTACCTTATTCTATATATTACTAATATCAATTCTACTTAGATTTTTTAGAGAATCTGAAACAAACAAAAAGCCTTATTTTTTATGATAAACAAAACATGAATAAAAAGCTAATAAGAAACAGATTTAATCATTAATATTAGTTCCTTTTAGATTAATTTGTTCCAATTTTTCTAAAAAGCCGCTTTAAATAAGTTCTTAAAATCCTTCCAAATCTAAACTGCAATCTTAAAGATCTAAGACTTTTAAATTTTTAATAAAGTCCATATTCTATATCTTCTAGAAAAAACCTTTTTAAATCATACAATTTCTCAGTTTAAATTTTTCTACTTAAAAAATAGACTTTTAAAGCATATTTTTAAACTGAATTTTCATCTTACTTTAATTTTTATTCACAAAAGAAATTTCCTTTAAAAAATCCCAATTTAAATACAACGGAACTTCATCGAAATTCCCACACACAAAACTATCAAAAGATATCGATTTTAGCGAATTATATTAAAATCCTTCTATTGGACATTCTTATCTAAAAAAAAGCATTTATTATATTAGATTTTCATCACAATTTTTCATATTTTTCAGTTTTAAAATCTATAGTTTCTAAAAAAAGGAAACGAGCAAAGCCTTAGTAAGGGCTTAGATGTTATTTTTATTAGCTGTCTAAACATAATCCACATCCCGTCTTATTTTTTAATACTTCGTGTGTTTTTTATATCTATTATGTTATTTATTCATGTTTTTATTACCATTATTCGAACTAACGGATTGTCTAAGAAGTTATGTTTGGGCATTTTTTGAAAACAAATTGAATATTATTGAAATTATAGCATGTTATTTTTTTGGCAAAAGCCTAATCTTATTGATTTTCCTCACAGGACTATTCTAAACTGAAAAGGACATATAATTGAAAGTCTTCATCATCTAAATAGCAGGATTTAAAAATGAAATTCTGGGGGATTTATTACTTAGCGCTTTATAAATTAGTAAAATATTTCCGTATTAAATATGTAGAAGTTTTTATAAAAAATATACTCGAAGCTTTTTTAAATATTTCATGTACATCTTTTTAATCTTCTTATTCTTTTTTTTTATATTCTTTTTTTTAAACAAAAAATAATATAAATAAACCTGAAAAATTGAAAAAATTTTAAATATTAAAAACTATTTTTGTAGGCTTTTTTATATTTAAGAAAAATTAATCATTTTAAATAAATTTTTCAGACTATAATTTCTCTATGACATAAAAAATATCCTTTACATTATAATAATTATTTATAAAAAAAGACTTATTGCACCATATTCTTAATTAGGATATATTTTTTAGACGTTTTTAGATTTCTGAAAGTTAATTTTCTTTAGGGATTATTAAAAATACTATTTTTTTGTTTTTTTTAAGCAAACTGTATATTCCATTTTTTTATTTTAGTTTAAATTAAATTTCTCTTTGTTAAAAAAAAAAATAATTATTAGTTTTATTAATTTTGATTTATTTATTTAAATATTTCAATTTACATTTTTATTTTTTAGTTTAGAAAATAAATATATGTTTTATAAATAGAAATAATACGATATAAATATTTTTATTTATTAAATTTTTAATTAAAAAAAAACTGCTAAATAGCTAAAAAAAAAAATAATGTATGATATTGTATATCTTTTAAAAAAAAATATATTTATAATATCTAAATTAAATTTGTTTATTTTAAATTAAATAAATTAATTTTTAAAATTATATTAAAAATTAATTAATTGTAATATTTTAATATAAATTTCAATAAAAAAAATACATTTCATATATATATATAAAATTTAAATATTTTAAAACATATAAATAATATAAATATATACATATATATTTATTAAATATCTATATATTTAATATAATTTAATTATTTAAATAATTTAAAACATTAATTAATTAAAAAATATAATTTATATATTAATAAAAAAATTATTTTTAATTTATTAAAAACACAAGATCAGATTTCTCATACAAAAAAAAATCATGTAAACAATCAAATATATATATATATATATATATATATATTATTTTTTTTATATTTATATTTATATTCGTATATTTAAATATTAAATAAAATCTTTTATTCTTTTTTAAAAAATAATTTAAATAAAAAAAAAAAAAATGTCCAATAAAAACCATATCTAAAAAGCATAAAAAAAGTAATCTTTAATTAGTTATTTTAATTCTCATTTTCCACCTCTAATTAAAGAAAAGTTTGAAACAGAACGTTAAATTTCTCACTAAGCCTACGATAAAGAGCTCGAAGAAAGCTTTTAAAATCGTGACTATAATTAATTATTTAACGATTTTTGCCCTAAAAAAGCCAAAATAGACCACATTTATGGTTTAAACAGTGCAAGATAAATTTAATTATCTGAATATTTGTTACATATGGGCCTTGAAGAAAATTACATAACACTAGATTCACGTTTTTTTTATTGTTCTTTCTAAACTAAATCCATTATTAATTGGTAGCCTTTATGGAAAGAGTTATTAAGAAGAATATTCTAAAATGATATTACAAATACGAACACATAAGACATAAGTCCTTAAGAAACCTAAGCATATTTATAAATTATTAAAAAATTAAGACATAAATTTGATGATTCTTCTATATAAGAAGTTTATGATTTATATACTAAATTAGTAAAATTATTAAATATATATTTATATTTATATATTAATATTTTTTTTTTTATTTTGTTTAGTGCGTTTCTAATAATGAATTACTTGGATTAATATTAATAAGATATTTTTTGAAAATATCCAGGAAAACAAACTAAAGTTATTATTAAAAGATTTTCGATGAAACAATATGCACATTAAATTATGATTTATCAAAAAGAAAATAACTAGTATCTATAAATTTTTTATATGAATTAGCAATGTAAAATATTAATAAAATAAATATAAATATATATATATATATATATATATATATATATTTAATTTTTTTTTTTATTTTTATTTATTTTAAATTTAGAACTCATCCTGAATTAGATTGGTAGAATAGCTATGAAAATCTATTTTCATTTATATCAAAATATTATTTATAATTACTTCCTTTAGGATTGTCTACAAAATAACAATAATAAAAGACTAATTACCTTTCTTTATAAAACATTAACAATTGTATTTAAAATTTAATTGTTCATTTAATCGTTCCTTCTACTTTTGATGAAAAACACTCTAAAATATGGGATTATATAAATCGTCTTTTTAATATTATTAGTTAATACCTACACCCTAATTCGGAAGGATCTGGTGCAGTTAAATTTTTACTTTAGTAATTATAATAGTTTATTCATAATTATATCCACCTTGATGCTTATTAGAAAAAAAAAGTGAAATCTTTGGAAAAAGCTATCGAAAATATAAAAAAAAAACTAAATTAGGATTAATAATGTAGTACAAATTAAGATAAAATGCAAGAAGATCTAGAAGATTAAGGAATTGAAAATGAATTATTAAATGAAAATAGTGTATAGAATATGTAAAATGATCATTTTTGTGAAATAAAAAAAGACGATGATAATATGAATGATATAAATGATTTAAATGGAGGAAACATGTTAAATTAATAAAAGTTTGAAGATGAAATTAATGAGGAAGATCAGGAAGATGATGAAGATGAAGAAGAAGAAGATGAAGATGAAGAAAAATCAAAAAAAACATAAGAAGAAATAAAATAAAACCTAGAAAAAAAACTAGAAAATCTAGAATAGAAATTAAAGTAAAAAGAATAAAAGAAAAAATATAAAAATATAAATATACATATAATAAAATATATTTATATATATATAAATATATATAATATATTTATTTTTATAATTATATTATTATATATTTATTCTATTATATATTATTATATATTTTTTTATATTTTTAGATAAACAAAATTATATTTGTTTGACTAATAATGTAATGAAAAATTTGAATAAATTATAGATCCAATATTAAGAAATGTTCTGCATTTAAATGATTCTTCTGGATAAATTATTCCATTTTTTTGCAAAGATTTGTGTTACTTTAACCCTTAAAAATTTATTCCTATTATACTAGATGTAGTTTATGAAGTATTTGAAAAAACAGATATGAATTTTTAAACAATAGTAAATGTATTAACCTTTATTATAATTCCAATAGTAGACAGAAATAATTATAAAAAAGGTCTATACTAACTCCCTAATTTAATGAGAAAAGTTCTTGATATTTTAACTCCAGGAAATTTCTAATAGGCTTTAAAAATATGGAAGTAAATATATATATATATATATATATATATATATATATATATATATATATATATATATACTTAATTTTAAAAGATTATTCAACGTAATATTCCTTATAGTTCCAATAAATAATGCTGATGATCTTTTCCAATAATACTAAGTATTAAATCCTGATAAGAACTACTCTGATTTTTACTAAGAAATGAATAAAAACGAAGAAATAGATATGATAAAACACCATGAATCCCTTTCAGATATCACATTTAGTATTTTCTAGAAATTTTTAGGGATGTTCGAACATATAGACATGCCTAGATCTAAAAATACCCGAGGAGTCCGATCTTCTATGCTTTCTGTTTTGAATATCTTCTCTTCTATTGCATTTTCGACCTCGAATCAATTATTTAAGCAATTATGGGCACATGCATTTGCTTGTATAACTGACAGATAATAGATTTATGCTTAAAAGCTTTATTCTTATTTATTGCATTCTTTTACATTGAGAGATCCTAAAATGGTACTTTAGGGGATGATCCCGTTTATTTTTTCTTAGTTTGTGCTTAAAAGATAGGAAGGAAACTTAGAGTTAATAAAAAAATAGCCTTTATATTATTTAATAGAGGAAAATAAAAATAAAGAGGAAATTCTAAAATATGAAATAGAATCAGTTAATAAAAATAGTCTTTTTTGGTATTTATATTTATTAGAAGATACTGTATAATTTGGAAGATAAGAAATACTTAAATATAAAAAATAAATCGAAATTATCATCTTTTTATGCCTAGTACATGAAGAAATAGAAATCTTTAAAAAAATCTGTTAAATAATATAAAAAATATTCCATTCTTTAATAACGTTTTATCCAACAGGTAAAAAATAATTCATATATAAATAAATATATATGTATTATTTATATATAATAGAATATTTTATTTGGAGCAAAAACGAAATAAAAGATGATTAAGATTTCATATAATTTTATCATAGATATATAGGTTAAAATAGGGAAAAAACTTTTTCTTTAGATTGGCATATTCCTACTAAATAAGAAGAGGAATATTCTAAGGAATTATTTTAAAAAATATACTAACCTATAATGAAATAATACTAAGAAATTCATTTCAAAGATGATTTAAAAACAGATTTAGACTACTAAAATAAATACGAATAAATTCTTGATGATGCCTTAAACGCAGAAGACAATGCTTAAAGAAACCTAAAAACAGAACTATAAAGAAGTATAACTTTATTATTCCATTTATATAGTTCAGTATCGATTCGAGCTAAATAAGAAATCGAGGAAAGCGAAGAAATATACTAGAATTTCTCTAAAGATTTCTGTTTATAAGAATATTAAAACTTAAATATAGAAATGATTAATTTATGTAATAATATTCTCCCTTTTTTAATCTAATAGAATCTTTTTTATGACCATAATATAGTCGAAGCTTATTTGACATTAATTTTATTTATTTTAGGTTGTGATGATTAATCTTAATATATAAACAGCATTAAATAAAAACTTAAAGAAACTAAATACTAAAATGCTAATCCTTATTATTAATAATATTAAAGCTTTCCTAGATTTGTAGAAGTTACATAAATAAATGTACATTTTAATACTAGAATATATCTTTACTCATTTAATTGTAAACATAATAAAAATCTTTAAAAATTAGTTTATCCTTTATTATTACTTTCTATGCATCCTTATTTAAAAGTAAAAGATATAAAAAATTAAATATTAAATTTTTTTATATATATAAATATATATATATATATATATATATATAATATATATATATATATTTATATATATAAATATTTATATTTATCTATTTTTTCTTATGTATTTATTTATAAGTATTTTTTATTTTTATAATATTTTAAAGATAAGTTAAAAAAGTATCTAAACATACCATACACTATTAAATTTATTAAAAGATTAAAATTTAATAGAATAAACAATAAATACTTACATAAAGTAATAAAATATTTATATTCGAATATATTAATATATATAATATTTAAGATTCATTGACTCCAAACTAACAAAAACAAGTGAAAACTTTCTCCCAAACCTTATTGAGAAATCCAAATAAGAGAATTCAAAAAAAGTTCCTTTGTTAATAACATACCTTGAGCGTACTATTTCTTCTTTAAGAATTATTCATACAATTCGTCCTCGTATACAAACCCATTAAATATTCGAAAAAATATCCGAAACATGTTTAAATATAATCGAATCATATAATTAATTTGTCTAAAAAGACTCTAAAGACCGAATAATCGAATACGTAATAAATTTCCTAATGCACTCTTCATAGAAATTAAAGAAACAAAAAGACGCTTTTTCCCTCTAAATAATTCCAAAAGGCCTATATTCCGAAAAATCTAAAACTATCCAAAACCTAAAATAAAGCCAGAGAAAATTCATGATAGAATGCCCCTAAAAAAGCGAGATAATTTCCCAAATAATTAAAAAAATCAAAAGCACGGCTTTCAAAAATCTAAAAAATCCACAAACATTTTATAAAGAGAAAATCTTCTTTTTGATCATTTCCCTTAAGATTTTGGACCTAAAAGAAACTTAAAATGAAGATTTTATCTTTATTTTAAACTAAGCCCTTTAGTTTACGATTTCCGACCATCTATAGACTAGAAATATAGGTCGTTGTGTAGTTTTGAAGTGTATTTAATGTATAAAATCATCCCACAAAATTTTGTAAACTAAGAATATACTCGAAGACGCCTATTTACAGGATTAAAATAAGACCCTAGATGAATTTTTGTAATACCAATTAGTAAAAAAGGAAGACATAGACGATGATTACGAAATAAACCAGAACTAAACATATTTAATATATAAGAAATCCTCATCATATGACCCTTTAGTGGAGAAGAATCCCATATATATGCATTTTTAAGACGACTAATTCTGCAAATAATACTTCGAGTATTATTTGAACGACATAACTACCCCTACATAGGTAGATTAATCCCTTAGAATCCGAAATATATTCAATAATTCAGAGTTAATATTCCAAGCGGAGCTAATAAGGAATTTTAAGAAGCACAATATACTAAAAGAAGGTAATTATTTCTTCCACTAGCGTGTATAGAAGAAAATATTCACAATAGTAGGCTATAGATACTTCGAATAGGCTAAATAATACATTGAAAAACACAAAAAAGATGAATAAACTACAGAAGCTTCTTTTATAATAAACCTCTTAGTTTTCGGTCTTTTATAGGGTCTTTTTTCCCCCGAAAATAAAATAAAAGACGAAACGAAGGAAGAAATATTCATTTATTTAATGGAAATAATAACCGAAAAAATTTATTCCCTAAACCTTGAAAAATACCAATATTTTTAGGCTTATTTATATAATATTATATCTTCGATTACTCTCAAAGACTCTTATAGAATCGTCCAATACATCGAAAAAAACCCTTAACTATAAAATAAGCAGGACTAAAGGTATTCGAGGTTAATGTATGTTAAAATAATTCTTTTATAGACCTAAAATAGCTAAAATATACATATAATAAAGAATTTAATTGAAGAAATGAAGACTATTAGTCCTTCTTCTATTTAATAGCATTTCTGGTATTCTTAGGTAGTTTATTCTTTGTGGACTTTTTATATATAGAACATAAATATAGGCTTTTACAAGAAGTATAATATAATAAAGGACATATAGATCTATATAGAAAATAACTCAATAATAAAAATCGATTAATTTTATTATATTTAAAATCCTTGAGAAATGAGGCAAATATATGATTTCGTAGTTTAGAATTTAAACGAAGAAAACATTGAAAATAAAAAAAATACTATAGACTAGCCTTATCATTAAGTACTATTTTTAAAATGAACTCCCTTTAATATTTTGGAGTAATATAATAACATATGGAAAATTTATTCCCTTATTATATAGCTTTTAAAGACGAAGATATAGCCGATTAGTAAGTAGTATAGGAATATTGGGGTAATCTAATATATTTAGCATACCCTTTTTATGGTAAAAACGTCCTAGAGAGACTATTTGAGATCTGTAAGGACAATTTCAAGAATAGTAATTGGAGAATAAGGTAAAAGGCGCTCGTTTTTTATCAATTTTTAGCAATGTTTCATCATTTTAGGCTTGATTAGTTTAATTACATAGAGCCTATTTTCGAAGTGTTGAATGATGAACAGAAACAGGTCAAAAGCTTAGCTTAGAAGGTATTGTCTTTATTAATAAAGACCCTTTCGGTACAGAAAGTAGGTTAATATGTTGAAAAAATGTAAGAAATGGCCTAATCTGGGGACAAAGATAAAAAAATAATCGGCGTATATTCCCTAATGAGTGTTCTTTTGAGTTTTCCGAATGATATAATGGATTGGAGTGAAGAAGCTATAAGAATAATTTTAAAAAATAAGAAAATAACATCAGATACACTAATTTTACTGAAAGAATTCGGTGCTAGTTTTTTAAAAAATACGTATCATGAT